TATGCTCCCCAGCGTGATCAGATGCGAGGGGGAAGCCATGGACAGGAGAGCGAGGCGAGTCAGCTGCGCATGTGTGCGCCTGCGCAGTTCGGCAGGGGGCGTCGTATGCTGCGGGAGCCGGGTGCGTCGGCGATCACACGGCTGCCCATGCCGCAGATTTTCCAGTAGGTAGTACTACTTTGCAGGTTTATTTTAACTCTGCATCTTTGGCCAGAAGAGACGGATCGGGGACGGGTGCGCGCCACTTCCCAGATGTTGCGGTGTGATTGCGCCCGCTTGATGCGCCCCCGATCCGTCCCTCTTGTGGATCAAATCCTCCCGTGTGACTGGGGCCAGAGAGAGCATTCTTGAGTTATTCTGATCCGATCAAAGACCAAATCAGCGCTGTCCCACCACTTGGATTTACTGGCATAGATTTTTCTGGTAGATTATTCCCAAAGAATTGTGTTCACCAAGAGAAAGAAACCAACATATTGTAAGTATGTGTGTTCAACCTCAGCTTTCCACTGTTTTATGAAACTGGATTCTAGTGGCACAAAGAGTGATGACTCTTAATATAAGTGAACCACGGTGTCATAGTGGATAGTATGTAGGGTTTAGATGGCGAAACCTAGATCCAGAAAATCATTCAAGAAAGTCATACAAAGCAGTCCTTGAAAAGCAAACGAAAACTGCTTCACTGGACTGCTTGGCGACTTCTGGGATCCATAAAAATAAAGACAGAAAATTATTCTATGTGGTATATGATCATCCTAAAATTGTGGCACTCACATTCCCTTTAAGAAAGAAGCATCACAGACACAATCTCAGTTCTGTTGATCAAAAAGAAGAGAAGTAAACGAAGCCTGTCTAATGAAATTACATGATATTGCTAGCAAAGACACGAGATGAATGAGAATCACAGGGCTCATGACCATTCTGAAGTACCATCAAAAGAAACCAGCTTATTCTGTCTCAGGGGAAAGAAGCTGGTTCAACACTGCATCAGTCTGCACCAATAAATTGTGCCTGCTAGTATTCAGATACATCTCTGTACCCATGAGAGCTAGAAATGTACTGCCTTGTTTAAAAAAACCAAAAACTGAAGCTTGCAATACTGATACCCTAAACCCTGGGATTTCTTTGCCATTCTGTGTGGCATCTTTTAGTTTGAGTCCCTTGCTCTGTAAGACCTGTCAGCACCATGTCATGGGGGGTATGTGCCATAATGATATCTATCTAGTTCATGTTTTATCAGGAGAATGGGCAGTGACTCTGCCTCCCTCCAGTGGTGGAATTCAGTATAAGCCTTGTTACAGCTCTTGTCCTCCTACCAACACTGGGCTCGACACTTGAACTAAAGCCCTAAATCAACAGGATTTGTAGGGGGAAATTTCATCCAGTTCAGGTGCCTCCTGGACATACTAGATCAGAATGAAGGTAGTGCCCACCCACCCTCACCCCAAATTCCAGTAAGGGGAGATTTTCACAGTATAATACTGGAAGAGTTAGTCCTGAGCCTACCACAGCTAGATGTGCCTGTGTGAGGGGAGAGGAGGTTGAGCTAGCCTTTACTTAGGTTATCACTTCTTTTTCCTTCTGCGCTTCTCTCCCCCAGCTATAGACAGAGCTGTTCTCCCAGGACTAAGTGATCTAAGGGAGGATGTGGGTTGGAGTCTTTTATTCAAAGCTGTCTCTCTTTCCCAAGGATCAAATTCTTTCCCCAAGGATCAAACTAAAACTTGCTGTATTTCACTATAGATCTAATTAAGAATGAAGCACAGATAGTTAGGGAGTATTCTACAGCACAGGAAAACACAGTAAAAGAGTGGCTAGAGGGAAAAGCAAATATAAACCCTTACAAGCTAGAGTTAACTTACATGCTGAGGACCACTACCACTCCTCATCCTCCTTGACTGAGGGGTGAGTCAGTCTCCATTCCCTCTGAATGAGCTTACAGAGGCTCATTCCTCTCTGAGGTTGCAAGATTGGACAAAGCGAAAGACTACACAAAGGGGCATGTGGCTGTGAACCTCTATTTCTGGCAGTGCAGCACTGTGCCCCCCCCACTCCAGGTTTGGGCCAATGACAACTAAGGGACTGGCTCTCCAGTTCCCACTACAAACAAATTTGCCAATAATATTGCCAGTTATGGATCAGAGGGTTGCTGCCTCTGCCCTCCAATTTGGTGACAGGGCAAATTAGCTCTTTGAAGCCTTTAAGGTGAAAGCTTGATCTTCACTCAGAAGGAAGGTGACAGCTCAGTGGCTGTTTCACTGACTCTTCTGGGTTTTGTTGGAATATACAAGGTCTATAGGGCACCTACTTGAAGAAGATCAGAACAGCCTATAGGGGACAGCTGAAGGACTACTAGTTATTTATTTATTTAATTAATTATATTTATACCCCGCCCTCCCCGCGAGCGGGCTCAGGGCAGCTTACAACAAGGCACAAAGTGCATACAATATAAAATAAGTAAAACAGTTAAAATTCAGTTCAATCAGGATGCAAGAATAGAAAGATCCCAACGTCTTGCATACCAGAAGGGGAGGGCCAGGGCCATAGATAGATGTTACTTGGCCCTCTGGCGGTATCGCTCTATAATGGAGCGGTGGTGGTAGTGGCAGTGGCTCCTACTCGAAAGCCTGGTGGAAGAGCTCCGTCTTACAGGCCCTGCAGAACTGCAAAAGGTCCCGCAGGGCCCTGATCTCCTCTGGGAGCTCATTCCACCAGATAGGAGCTGCCACTGAAAAGGACCTGGCCCTCGTTGCCGCAAGCCTGGCCTCCTTGGGGCCCGGGGTCACCAACCGGTGTTGTGACCCCGACTGAAGTGCTCTTTGGGGCATATGTGGGGAAATGCAGTCCCTCAGGTATGTCAGACCCTGGCCATGTAGGGCTTTAAAGGTAAGCATCAGCACTTTGAAGCAAATTCGGTATGCTATAGGCAGCCAGTGCAGCGCTTTCAGTACAGGTCGGGTGTGCTCCCACTTAGGGGTGCAGAATGCCTGGCCGCGGCATTCTGTACCAGCTGCAGCTTCTGGATTTGTGACAAAGGCAGCCCCATGTAGAGAGCGTTACAGTAGTTTAGCCTCGAGGTGACCGTCGCATGGATCACTGTAGCTAGGTCATTGCGGTCGAGGAAAGGGACCAGCTGCCGTACCAGCCGAAGATGATAAAAGGCCGATCTAGCAGTGGCTGCCACCTGGGCCTCAAGGTGGGGTCCAGGAGCACTCCCAGACTCCTGACCTCCGAAGCTGGCACCAAAGGTGCCCCGTCGAAGGTCAGAAGCGGGAGCCCCAACCCTGGTCCAGTCCAACTCAAGCACAGGACCTCCGTCTTTGCCGGGTTTAATTTCAGCCTGCTCAGTCTGAGCCACCCAGCCACGGCTTGTAAAGCCTGGTGAAGATCTTCTGGGTTGGAGTCCGACTGGCCGCCCAACATCAAATAGAGCTGGGTGTCATCTGCATATTGATGACACCCCAGCCCAAACCTCCGGGCAATCTGGGCGAGGGGGCGCATATATATATTAAACATCATCGGGGAAAGCACCACCCTCTGAGGCACCCCACATTCAAGTGGGTGCCTCTGGGACTGCTGTTCCCCTAGCACTACCCTCTGTCCCCGACCTTGGAGAAACAAGGCAAGCCATTGAAGGGCGAGCCCCTGGATCCTCACGTCAGCAAGGCGGTGGGTCAGCAGCTGATGATTGACCATATCAAATGCGGCTGACAGGTCTAATAACAACAGCGCCGCCACACCGCCTCGATCCAGATGCCTACAGAGGTCATCAGTAAGGGCAACCAGCACTGTCTCCGTCCCATGTCCCGTGCAAAAACAGGACTGGAATGGGTCAAGAACAGAAGCTTCATCTAGGAAGCTCTGTATCTGAGTCACCCCCACCCTCTCAAACAATTTGCCCAAATAGGGCAAATTGGACACCGGCCGATAGTTAGACAATTCAGCTGGGTCCAGAGTTAGTTTTTTCAGGAGAGGGCGGACCATAGCTTCCTTGAGTGCCTCGGGGAACCGCCCCTCCGAGAGGGACTTGTTAACAATCTCCCTCAAGGCACCTCGAAACCCCTTGTGGCCCACTTTAATGAGCCAGGAGGGGCACGGATCAAGGCCGCACGTGGTTGGATGCACAGATACGAGCAATCTGTCGACTTCCTCCAGGCTGAGCTGGTCAAAACACTCTAAACCCGGAATCGAAGACGCGCAAGGGGCCTCGAGTTCGCTAACTGTTTCAACTGTGGTGGGGAGGTCACGGCGGAGTGTCAAGACTTTATCCGCAAAATAGTTCGCAAAAGCCTCACAGCCAATATCCAATTCCCTACTATTTTGTCTGCCCTGTGGCAGAGCCGTCAGAGACCAAATTGTTCTAAATAATTGGGCTGGCCGTGAGCTTACAGACGCAACGCTAGCTGCGTAGAAATCTCTCTTCGCAGCCTTGACTGCCATCTCATAGGATCTCATAAACGTCCTATAAGATGCTCTTGTAGCCTCGTCGTGGGCTCGGCGCCACCGTCTTTCTAACCGTCTTAGCTCTTGCTTCATCATCTCTCTAACCGTCTTAGATCTTGCTTCATCAGCATAACTAGATTATGGACTTCCCACAATTTCAAATTTTGTTCTTTCTGTCTCCTGAGTGGCTCTTTGGAGACTTCCTGCTTCATCTGAGCCATCCCCCTTTATTCCTGACTCTCACAGCAGTTAGTTAGTTAAGCTTCTCTCCCTCTCCTCTGTTATACCAGAGTTTATTTCTCCTTTACTAAACCAAGTTATTTTCTTTAAACAGTTGGTGCTCCATTTCCTTGCATGTTTAAACTCTGCCAACATATTTTTCTGGGTTGTGACCCGGCAGCCCTCCACTAAGGTCAAGTATGTGCAGGATGACAGGATGGGTTGGATGTGCAGGATGACAGGATCATTCTCCCTTATGAAAGGTGACACAATGGCCACTCAGTTCCTTCCCATAAAATCATTCTATTAAGTTGCTTGTTTTTGAAGGAAAGTTTCCTTACCTTTGGCTAATGGTTCCACAGTGATAATTTCGCTGCTGTTGCCCCTTCCTGCAGCCGTCACAGCCACCACCCAGACACTGTACTGTCGATTTCGACTCAGGTTGGGGATTCTGTAGGAAAATGAGTCAGGAGATGCTTCAAACTCACTGATTACCTGTGACAGGAGAGACAAAACTATAGTAAGCAAAATGCATACATATAAAGAGAAAGTAGAGGAGGGAAGAGTCTTTTTTACCTTTTACCTGGCCTCATTAAGTGAATGACATCAACTATCTCAGGCAGACTGGATAAAAGGTGGTAACAGAATTTACAACGGCAATCAGGTGGTCTGAATGATCTAGTTCCTTCTTGTGGTAATTCATTTGATAAGTCATTCAATCCGTGAAAGGCTTTGATGACCATACTGCATGCACCAGGGTATCAGTGTTATACTGTACATTTCTTTGGTGATTTTCAAATTCACCACTGATGTGGCAATGAACTACATTGCGGATCCTCATCCCCTGAAGTTGTCTGCTTGCTGGGGCTCAAAAACATGTGATGGCAGCTGATTTGTGTAGTTAATCTTTGGTTTATTTCACAGATGCAGAAGGGATGGATTGATTTCATGAACAGAAAGGATATATACGCCGGGATGTTAAATCTCCCCTGAGACTGACACCTGCACTATGTCCCTCAAGATCGCTCTTTCTTGAGCCAGGTCCTGTACCAGAAGTGTGCCCAGAACACAGAGAAGGCCTCAGAGAGTGTAGTGATGAGCAGTGCACTGCTTCTGCGATCTTCACGTGCAGGGCTTTTTTTTGTCTTCAGCTTGGACCCTCTCCCCTCCTTTATACATGACAAATTATGATCCGCTGCTTCTGTGTACGGTTCTAGATCCTTTGTGTTAAATTCTATGTTTGAAATCTCTGTGCTGTAAATTCAAAAACCTTTCAGTACCTCTATCATATACTTTCACTTTGTTCTGTATATAAATTCATCTTGTTACAAACTTTCCCTTTGTTTAAATCAGTCCCAGTCATCTTCGTTAATCAAAGCTGGCATTCCAGAGCATGAAGATTAGCCATTCATTCTTATTAATGTGTCTCAGGATAGAACAGTAGGGCAAGATGATGTTACATCAAAACAGTAACACATGATTCATTTATCACCTCCCATTTAACTTCAGATAATTCTTGGACCATGATCAGTGACGGGAATTTCTGACTTCCATTTTATCAAGGTAACCTATTAAGTAATTATTGTGTCTTCTAGTATCTCTGCTGAGAAACTAACGTGTCATTAAATGCATGCTCTGGCAATTTATATTTTAGCTAGATATTCTAGACTGACTATTATTTACGCACTGTGTTCACATATACTATGGCCTCGCACTTTCTAGGCACCTGCCAATTCAGAATCAGATTGAGACCCAAATTTGATATTAAAACAAAACTCATTGTTGTGCTTTACAAAATAAACTAAAGAAGTTTAATTTTTTTTAAAAAATCATCCATGGTAGTGGTGGGCACAAAGATAATCAAGATTATGTTAAAAGAAATCACACTATGAATGCAAAAATTAAGCATGCCGAATGGGCACAATGCTAACTGTATCTCCACAATGTCTCAACTTATAACATTGCCCAACAATGCCAGCAAACCCAAGATGTCACACCAACATACCACAATGAAACAGATGACACCCAGTCTCCTCAAACTCTTCTCCCTCTTGCTTTAGACAAAAATAGGATGTTGTAGTGCAAAATAACATATGGGCAAATGTTTTTAAAAAAGCAACACAGGAACAGCAAAGAAGCAACAAAAGAGAAGTATAAGAGGAGCCCCAAATTGAAAAAAAAGTCAGAAAAAACAACCAAGTCTGTATTTTCTAATCCTGAAACAGCAATGTTTGCAATCAAACAGTTGGCAGATGTTTAGTCTGATCTTGTGTGCTCAGAACAATTGCTTTTCTAGAATAGCTTCTGTACCCTTTATACCAGCACTTTTATAAATATTGTAATTAATTCCATTTATCACTGATTTTCATTACCATTTCTTCTTATTAGCCACATTTATATCCTGTTCAAAAAAGATAAGTGGTATTGCTGTTTCTGTTGTTATTGCTGCAAAAAACAAAATCTGGTGCGTCACAACACTCCCGCCACCATGTTTATCCGGATTAAATGACACAAGGAAAAATACTAGAAGCAAAATCAATTATTTGCTGTCAGAACAACCCCAAGCTAAGTAGAAGACATATATGCACAGTGTTTCTTGTGGTGAGTTTCCACTCCCACATCTGGTGCCAGTTATAATAGAACTTCCTTACTATCGTATGGAGAGATTCTCTGTCAAACTGAGTGTTTTTTCCAACAACATGGGGATGGTGAGAAAATTCCGCCTGTTCTGATTTATGCCTTCCCACATGTCACATTGTATATTAAGATTAGATCATAGGTACTAGAGCAAAAATAATAACATCTCTCTGTGATCATCAATTCTCCATCTCTATCACTTAGAGACGCTAAAGCCCCCACCAGTTCAAGTCATGTCCGGCTAACCCAGCACATGCAGAGAGCTGATTGTTCAGTGGGCAGTTTGGGTTGCTCACCAACAGTTCAAGCCTGTTCACTAGCTTATTTCTGTTCAATAATACATGGTGCACATTACCCCCACCCATTGCTTTACTAAGCTCTGCTCTCAGTTGTTTAAATGGAAAAAGACAGTCATATGTAAACATGTAAACATATGCACATTTTTCTTTTAAAAACCTTACTGTTTGTTTGTCTGCCAGTCTGTCTGGATTTGTGGCTTTGTCACATATCCCCATGGGAGTTAAAGTTTTCTGCCAGCTTACATGATATCATAATATCATAACTATGTGACATCAAGCCACAACCAACTCATGGTAACCCCAGGATCATGGGGTTTTCAAGGCAAGAGATGAGCAGAAGTGGTTTGCCATTGCCTTCATCTAAATAGCAATCACAACTTTCCTTGGTTGTCTCCCATCCAAGTACTGGACATGGTCAACTCTCCTTAGCATGAAAGGTCCAGCTCAAACAGGTAACTGGCACAGAGCTGATATTTTAAATGAAGCATCTCAATTTTAGATATTTTTTTTGCACAAATTCTTAATCTTTGAGACTCTCAAACACTGGTTGTTGTTTTTTTTAAAGCATCAGTTTAGATCCTGTGATGCGTTCTGCTAATGACTGCACCTTCCCCCAGCACAAAGCACTTTCTACAATGGAAGAGGCTGCATAGCTTCTTGCATCTAGGAAAGGCACCACCTTATTGTTTATGTATTTATTTAATAAACATTTTATAGACCTTTCTTTGTGGTTTAAGACGGCTTACAATAATAGTTTTAAAACATTTCAAATTAAAACCAAAATAACAAACCCCAAATCTCTCCCTCCCTCCCCACTTAAAAAATGCCCGCCATTTAAACCCCAGCAAGCAAACAAGCCTCCCAGTGGTCCTGAAGATGTCCAAGGAGAGGGCTCTCCTCAGGGAGGCCGTTTCACAGAGCAAGGGCTGCAATGGAAAAGGCCAGGACTCTAATGGATGGCCACAGACAGGTCACCCTCATTGGTGGAAGAGATCCACAAGATCCACCCACTGTCTGGATAAAATATTTGTTTTACATGTGCTAATTTTAAATGATGTGACAGATGTTTCAACATGCTCTCATTTTGAATATCAATCAATCAATCAATAGACCTTTAATGGCATATACATTATGAATATCTAGAAGAGCAACTGACTTCACTTCTGTCAGGCACATCTTTTCAAACCATTGAGTAGAAGCTGGGTCTGTTAAATGGAGGAATGAAAACAAAAGGAAAGGAAACAACTGCAACAAAAACAAAAACCTAAATGTTTTGTTGTTTACTTGTCATAATTAAAAGTGTATTTTATGCATTCCACATGTATATGATTGTATACAAATATTTGTTTGATATATTCTTATGTTTGGTTGAAATGTTTTACTTTTTGAAACATTTGGAAAGGATTGTATGTTATTCTGTTGGGTTTGGAAACACACACACACACTTGCTTTTCTGCAACTTTTGCTTTCAGTAAATGGGGAAATCATCCAAGTGGGGAAACCACCTCATCCACCTGTGAATGAGCTCTGTGATGTGTTTTAGTCATCTGAGAAGGCTAAGCTATGCCAAGAGTTACTCCTAGGATCCTTGTCTTCAGTAACCATTGCTCCTTGCCTTGCCTTGTTTCATGTTGCTGTTCCTCTTTGTGCCCTGGAAACTTACTCCATCTGCATTTTACTCTGTTTTCACATCCATGTTTTATTTCACTTTATATCATTTTGCTATGCCACAATATTTTTTAAATTTATAAGTGGGAAAGCACTTTAGCAGATGCATAGTGAATACCAAAAGGACTGTTTGCACATATCTGGTCAAACCTTTCCAAAGGCTTGCCACTGAAATGCAGAGATTACAAAATTAGAAAAGGATTGTTTTGTTTTGCTTTGCCTGTAGTAAAGGACAAACAAATATCTACCCCTTAGAAATTAGTTTTGTAAGGCGGGGATATGAATCTCAAATCAAGAAGCTCCAATTCCCAGGCTTTTTTGGAGAAAACTGTCACACTTAAATTGGTATACAATCCATATAAATTTGTAGAAAATATAAGCCTATACTGAATAGTGGTGAATAGTTCTTCACAAAATGCAAAGTACACCCAGGAAGAAAAAAACAAAATAAAAAGAGGTGCAGTGGGAATTTCTACAACATCTTATCCCTCTCCTTCTATTGAAAATGAGTACATGCCACTGAAAGGGATGAGTATACCCCCAGTTTATCCTCAACTCCACCTCCTTCCTCCCCATCTTGGCTCCTCTATGTTACATTTTGGACTGCAAGTTCTTTCAGGTAGTCTTGTACTTTGTAAAATGCCATGCACATGGATGCCACTGTACAAATGACTAAATAAATAAATAAATAAAAATAACAACGTCTCTCAAGAGTGTGTACATAACCACAAAGAAATTTGTAAGATACGGGCTAGGGTTGCCAGGTCCATTTGATGAGCGGGCAGGGGATGGGGGTGCACTTACTGGGAGTGGGGAGGAAAGAAGCCGAAATAAACGCAATGACTTAGGCACATCGGGGCATTGTATCTATGTCACCCGGAAGTGATGTAG